CACCGCCTGCAGCGCGCCCGCCGCGCCCGTACCCGCGCCCACACTAGACCCCGACTGACAACACAACGCATCATGTTCATCATCTTTTTAATGATGTATTTTTGGAAGTTGAGATTTTAACGTGTTCTGTTTAATTCTGTTCAAGTCAATCTGGAAATTTCTTCTGATGTTGCAATAAAATTGAATAAAACGAAATTGAAAAAAAAAAAAACACTCAAACACGATATGCTGTTCATGAAGTGGAATGTACTCACAAGGTACATCTCCGAGCAGGTGACGGCGCAGTCAGCACTCACGTCCATCGAGATGAACTTGACGAGCGCGGGAACGAAGTACTCGCTCTCCAGGACGAAGCGGCCCAGCGTCTGCGCCCCGCCGTCCGTCTGACACAACAAACACATACGTTGTTACATAATAACAAAGACGTTAAAATAGCTAAAACTACATAGGTATACAGTTAAAACTTACTTGTAAAGGTAGTCCTGCTATCCACGCCAAAGACTGCATTGATAATATCCAGCATCTCAGGGATATATTCTCCACTCTGTATTAAAGAAAAAATGTAGTAAACATCATAATATAAAATGCAATACGGTTTTCACTTTGGTAAACATGAAGAAACTAACGTGCAGAGCTGGTGCAGTATGGCGGTGACGGTGTCCGGGGCGAGGCGCACGCGCGGCATGTCCGAGGGCACGGCCGACCACACGGCCGAGCTGGAGGGGCCGCCCGCGCCCCACGCGCACCCGTTCAGCGTCATCCACAGCGACAGCACGTTCTCCATCAGGCTGCAATCGCGCTGCAACACACAAACATTACTAATGGCAAACTTATCTCCTAATTTCATATTGCTCAATGTGACGAACGACTAATTTAAAAAAAAAATCTATTTAATTCATATCATCGCATTCATATTTTATATACAAATAAATGACTACTAATTAAGTTTTTCTACGATATACTGCGTCGTATTAAATGTTACTTTCAGCTATGACATTACAGCGGGCACTATACAATTCGATTACAAATGGTTTAAATAGGAAGTACCTGCTGTGGGAACTCTAGAGCCAAATGTCTGAACACGTCGTAGAGCGTATGCATGAGCGGGGGGTGAGCGCGCTGTGCGGGGACGGAGGCGGCGGAAGTGCCCGGAGCGGCGAGGTGGCTGGGGCCGGGCGCGGGCGGCGAGGCGGGCCCCGCGGGGGAGGGCGCGGGGCTCACACCCGGCGAGAGGGGCGGGGAGACGGGCGGGGTGGGTGCGGGGCGCAGCGCGGCCGCCAGCACGCCGGACGTCGCCGCCAGCAGCCGCCGCGCCAACGCCTCGCCCGCCGCCGCCACACCACTCTCTAGGCGCGCGTCCACGCATGTCGATATGCTGTAATTTGAAGTTATCTTTTATGGCAATCACTTTAGGAATAAATCTCTACAATTTTTCTTATCTATTCCTACAACCATGTTGGAATCTATTGAATCTCGAATTATGTGACGCATTACCTTGTGTTGAAGTTGTCTGCAATGGGTTTTAACTTGATTTTCTTTGTTGCGTCCACGAAGTCAGAGTCCTGTTTATCCTCAGTCTCCGAGTCGAGCAACACTTCCAGCTCCGCCACTTGGCTAAGACGATATTCGATGGTTTTCACTGCATCTATAGTGTCAACAAAAAATATGTTTAAAATTAGAGCAAACAAGCGTGTACATACGAGTGCGTATGCACGCGCTTACGGAAATATTGCGATGACTACAATCCTAGTATGTATTCATATTTGCTCTATATTTCTTCGGCAAAAGTAAAAACTGATGTAGCATCTACACGAACGTTTGTTGCAAACAGGTGGAACTTACCGCAGGTTAGTTTCGTTGCTATACAAAGCATGTGCATATTTAAACAGATATCTGTCACAATATGTCTAATTTATTGCGATCCATTGACTCTTAAATGTTGAAGTACATGACGGAAAGTACTATTTAAACCGCTGAGATATTAGCAAAGAAGCGAGTCTAGCAATATTTTATCGATAACACCATTTTTTTATGTTTGATACAAACCTATTATTTTAAGTACTTTATAATCCAAACCGCTAGAAAATCAACTCAACTGTGTAAAAAGCCATAAATATTGCAATCCAAAAGCGACATATCTTTCTACCAGTGAAAATAACACGTGAATTGAAACGTTAAAGTTAAGAGCGACAAGCCAAGTGACAAACGCTGGCGCTAGTGTGTCGGTGGCTTACTTGCGGCCGCTAGCGCGGTTGCGGCTACTTTGGGCTTGGACTTCGGCTTGCCGCTCTTCGACAGGCCAAAGCTAGCCGCTAACGAATCTGCAACAACAGTGCCGTTACTGCCCATCGCCCATCGCCCATCCCTCAGCCCTTCTACACCTGACTCGTGCACTTTTCACTGATAGCAATTCTAATACTACACATTCATATTGAAATAAAAAACAATGAACATCAATATCTACAAAATTCTAAAACACATTCTACGTAACTATTAATGTTATGTATTGTAAAGAGTGGGCAGTAACCTGCAACACTGCCGGTCTTGTTCTTGCGCGGCGGTGTCCTGGTGCCGATGTCATCCTGGGTGACAGTAGGACGAGTTGCGCTTGCATCGCTCCACGACTGCTCTTCGCCGGTGGGGCTCGGGGTACCGTCTATATTTTCGTATTCCACCAAATCCTGTACCATAAGTCAAGTTACAACAATACAGCTAAAATTAACAATTTTTGTATATTATAAGGTAGGAAACGAGCAAGAGGCCATCTGAAACCGCCGAAATGACGAAGCGACCTCTGACCACAGACATCCGCAATTGCTGATGCGTTGCCTACCCCTAATCGATCAGACGAAACGCGGATTTATTCCTATTTTATGCCTGTCTCCTGTGTGGGTCGTGGTATTACACCGGCCGACCTATTCGTACGAAAATGTTAAAGCGGACTCTACCACTGTTAAGATTGGTCCTTTGAGCCGGATATTTTGAGTGAAGTACCTGCAACAGCATGGTGAGCGCGTGCCTTGGCCACGGCGGCAGGGTGACCGCCAGCCGCGCCAGGCCCAGCACGCTCGCCGGCTCCAGCAGGGACGCACCGCCGCTCGCAGCGCAAAGCCGCCCCACCACCTACGTACATCGACAACTTATTAGTGTAACGGTACTATTATAGTTTGACTTTAGGTAACTGACATTTTGTAACAAGATTAATGCTAGCTTGCTAAGAATTCAATATAAAATATTCACTAAATGTGAGTAATGCCAAAACTTGACGTACAAACTAATATTATTATAGATGCATCTAGATATGTAACACTAGATGTGGCATGGACTACATCTTACTAATATTATAAATGTGAAAGTTTAGATGGATGGATGTTTGTTAGAGTTTGTAGTCTAAACGGCTGAACGGATCTCGACTGGAAGTACACATAAGCTATTTCTTTTTGTATTTTTTAATTCCACGCGGACGGATTCTCAGGTGAAAGCTAGTTCTATTAATAAACGTAACTAAACTTTGATGTGATAATTACTGTTAGTTGTGAAAATATAATTTCGTGGAGTCCGCTATGGCGTACCTTGGAGGAGAGCAGCAGCGTCTCGCCGGCGACGGCGCTGTCCGCGGCCAGCAGGTGCGCCACGAGCGCCTGCGCCAGCTGCACGGCGAGGGCGGGGGGCACGAGGCGCGCCGCACGCTCCATCTCCTCCGCCTTCGTGCTCACCACGCCCATCTTGCCACACGAAATCAGACGAGCCTTGATGCGATTGCGCTGTAACGAATTATTACTTAATATATGTTGTTACTAATCTAGATCTAAACATTGCTAACAAACTTGCGTACTATAGGTGATATTGAAAATTGCTATGTAGTTCCCAATTGTATTAAAGCATTTATCGGTGTAGAGTAAATAGTAGATTTTACGTTATTAAATAACATTAGTTAAATGTGTTCATTCATACTAAATGATGTAATTTACAGTACGATTAAGGTTTATTGTATGCCTGACTAGGTTATTTATATGTCAGGTCAGGATAGGACTATAAAAAAATAAAGCCTGAAGGGAAGCACGGTTGTTAACAATGTTTAGACCTTGACATGGTTCGACGCCAAACAACTGATTGTATATGATCCCATCAGTTTAGTTTGTGTTCCCTAGCATCTTCAAACATTGTGATTTTTGAAAGACGCGAAATGTGTTACGCGAGTTTGTGGTACAAACAAGCCGAAACGCAACATCGATGCTAGGGAAGTAGGAACATAGCCAGGTATGTTTGTCAACCTAGCTGGCTACGTTGGAATGAAAGTCTTACAGCGCGTCGCACCGACTCAATATCGTGCATGTGGTTGAGCAGCTTCTTGTGCAGCTTGCGGCGCGGCAGCTTGCAGTCGCCGCGCTCGCCCGCCGCCTCCGCGCCGCCCGCGCCCCACGCGCCCGCCAGCCCGCCCGTCACCCACTCCCATCTGCACCAAACACACCAATTAACTGACAGATACATTATCTGGTAACTTCATTATGATTTAATCAACTTTAGCCCGCGACTTCATCTGCATAGAATTAAAAAAGATTGACTATATTATATAACATATTTCTATTTCAATAAGATGGGTTGAACCATAGGTACCTATCAGTTCTTCAATACTGTGTTGTACATCTATATCAAAAATTCACCAAGATACGTTTCGTCGCTCTGAAGAAACCTAGTATCAAACATCTATCTATCCGTCTACCCAAACCTTTTCATCTATAATTTTAGTAAGAAATGTATTTTAGGACATCACAGTAAGCCAGTAACCTCTTAAGTCTCTGCACAGCGGGCGTGGTGTTGACTGTTGGCACGTGCACGGCGGCGGGCGGCGGCAGCACGGCGTCCATGACGGAGGCGAGCGCGGTGAGCAGCGCGACGAGCGGCGCGGGGCGCGGCTCGGCCGCATTCAGCAGCGCCAGCGCGCGCCGCGCCAGCGCCGCCGCCACGCCCGTGCCTCCATACTCCAGGTGCGCGTACATACTCTTGCGGCACATGAACATCACCACCACTAGACACCTGTACAATACAAAACAACAACAATGAGTTATGTTTAGTACTCCCCCTCTTTTTTTAAATCGGTTAAACACTTAACGTTATGGAAAGAATACAGAGAAGAGGCTGAATGTATTAAGGCAGAAAGACAAATAGTTCTTCAGGCTCGTCGTATGTTAAATTCATTTGATTTTTTACATATCAGATGGAATATAGATTACTGATTTTACTAATAGTGTTTTAAAGGTGGATTCTGTGAGTGGAGAAGCGATAGAGTGACCTGTCGAGTGGTCTTGGCGGTGCGTCGTGCGGCGAGAATGTATCGCAGAGCAGGTCCGCGAGGCGCTCGCCCCACCAGTGCGCGCCGCCGCACAGCCGCGCCAGCAGCGTGCCCAGCGAGGCCGCGCCGCGCGCGCCGCACGACCACACCAGCGACGACACGCGCGAGAACCACTCGCTCGACACCTCCGGGTATTGCTGCAACACAACACAATCTCACTTATTAATATGAACACATTATAAAAACCACATATTTCTGAATAGATCAAGGAACGTATAGAAAACGCACTTGCATTAAATAACAACATAGCAATCATCCAAGGATACTGACTTCCGATTTTTTCGTGGTGGGTTTGAATTCTACCCTTCAACTAACGAAGTCAAGTAGACTTCACAAGTTGCAATTATTTCGAATGGTGCAAATATATTTTATTAATTGATTTGCTTACGAATATAAAAAAACCTGCTATACAAAAAAATATTACCGAGACAAAATACGATCTCAGTCGTATATTTACGCTCGCATTTATCTTTATAAAGTACAGTATATATAATACTGTACTTAATATAGTATTATTAAGTACAGTGTGTGAAGTCATGGTTTGCGAGGTGAGTAGTAATATACAATGCAGATGTAACTGACCACCTCATCCATTTGGAATAAGAAGTAGAGCAGCATATCGACGACGTTCTCCGCGATGACGCGCAGCTTGTCGGTGGAGGCGCGCAGCAGCAGGCCCTCCGCGGTGACGGTGCCGCGGGTGATCAGGTCGAGTGCGCGCTCGTTGCAGTCGCCGCGGTTGGCGAGCTTCCGCAGCATGTTGTTGCAGTTGTGCACCTGCTGCTGCAGCTCCATGCACTCCTGGTAAGCGATCACCACCTTCGGGTCTACATCGGTGCCTATATTGAAGTACGCCATCATGTGGGAAGCGTTGCCGTTGTACATTTCCAGGTACGGGTTCAAGAGATCGATCAGCTTTCCCGTTGCCAACCTGTTTAAATCACAATGTAATTAAACATTTATTACAAATTTGAATAATAAAAAACCATAATTAACATATTGTTCTCTACAATCACCTAAACCTGCAGCTGAGGTCCTGGTGCAGGGCGTTGAGGGCGTTGATGGAGGCCTGCACATTGGGCACCTCTGCGATCTCTCCGTAGAACCAGCCCAGCGGGATCTTGCATTTCATTGCCGACATGCCGTAGCGCCCGATTGTCGTTATCTACAAACATCATTTTCAATAAGTATTTCACAGTAGTATTAATGTGAAAGGCCAGCGAGAGAGTAATACCTTCATGTATCTGCAGAGCGGCGGCGGCTGTATGTCAGTGAGCACCAGGTGTTTGGTGGCGATGTCGGAGGCGAAGGCGAGCTTCACGGAGTCAGTCTCCTCGCCGCTCACCCAGATGTCGATGCACAGCGTCACCAGGTCAGAGCACGACGGGATTATCTAAACACGTTGACGTCACATTAGTTGACTCCAGGAACGTTACTAGAATGCAATCCAAGATACAATACTGCTACAAAAATAAATGCTTTACAACCTTTGTCGTTAAGAAATAAAACACCAATCTACTAATAGTAAAAAGAAAAAAATCGTACTTTTGTATGTATTCAATTCACGTAAAATTACTGGGCTGCTTATAAAATTTATCTGTGAGTATCACAGGCTACATTTTTTAATACCATAATAACATTTATAAAAGTCAACCTCATTTGAATAATCCAAATTTTAATTTACATCTTCCTCTGATAGGTTAAACTAATTTCAATAATGTACTCACAACGTCCGTTAGTCTGACAGTGTGTCCAAAGTCCAGCACGATGTAGCGGCGCGCGCCCGAGTGCATGCGCTCCACCACCAGCGTGTGCTGCGGCGGCTTGCTCACCAGCGTCGCCCACGGGATGCCGCACTGCTCCTCCTCCTGACACACAACACTCGCTGCAACACTTGCACTTTTTTTTGACCGACTTCCCAAAAGAAGGAGATACTCAACTCGTCTGTTCTGTATGTTTTTTCTTTTTATATGTGTTACGGTATAACTCCGCCGCTAGTGGACCGATTTTGATAATTCTTTTTTTATCCGAAAGGTAATGCTTGCAGGTGGGTCCCACCATTTGTTTGATTTTTGGAGTCATTTCCAATAATTTTTTTTTATTTGAAAACCACTCAGCATATATGCTGGTCTTCCAGGTAATTGAAACTTCGCAACACTACACTAAAGCAGAAGTGGCTAACATTTATACATCAAAGTGCCATTATTTTTTTTTTAATAATGCGGTCTTAGACGTGCCATCGAATAATTTGACTAATTTTTACGTCAATTCCATTATGCACCTACTTTATAACTTTTCGTAGTGTTTTATAATTATCGATGTGCCCAAAATATTATGTCGTGTGCTATTTATGGCACGCATGTCAGTGGTTCGCCAATGTTAAAATGTAATGTAATAAGACATGGGGGAGGACACTATGCAGAATTCCTAGAGCATTTAAAATATTTGAATAGACTTATACTTTCAGTTTTTACTTTATATTGACTTAAGAATTCATAAGTAAAATGTAAGTTACCGTAAAGAAGTTGTCCCCCGGTGCGTCGGGCTTTTCCTGCGGGTCGCAATCCATCATGGTGTTCTCCACGTCCTCCAGGGAGTCCGGGTCCTGCGACTGCTGCTTGCTTTGGCCCTCCTTCACTACTGTCCATAGCTGTCATAATATAAAATATTGTAAAAAATGGTTATTTATAAAGTTACAAGTTGACGGCATAGGCTGTTTGTGCCTCTCTATCGTTTGTTTCGCGCTCTCGCTCTCACACTTAGCTGATGTTATAAGGCGTTACCACGTTAAAAAACTTTTTTCTTTGCACTATACCATAGCAGCGTGTATATCGTGTGGTGTGGTGTATACCTGGTGTGAGTCAGTGGGCAGCGCGCTGACGACGGCGGGCTGGTGG